CTTTATTTAAACTTGACCTTAATATTAAAAAATGAGCCTTCCTGAAGGTGCACTTTCCCCTATGTTCTGCTCTGTGCATAATCATCTACAAATCTCTTTATTTTACTTGTCTTTGTAATATTACATTCTGATTATCCTTTAGCATTGCAACTACATGGAAACTTCCAATTTCATAGATTTTTCCAGGCATCCCAAGTCACTTCTTAGCTTTTATTTGTACCGCCTATTTTTTTTAATTCAATGTCATTCTGTGTTTTTAAATATGTTTCCCTTTTCCAAGGTCATTTTATTTCCTATAGCATAATCTAGGCCTCCAGGGATGTGCCATATATAAACAATAAACACTTTTTATATTGCAGCATTTAGCTCAATGGTAATGTTGAATATTATGCAGTCTTGATGAACTGCCTTTTTTATTGTCACCTCCAGCTTAGAGCCACAAACCTATTTTAACTGATCACATAAATGTACTGAAAAATCAAAAACTGAATAGCACTAGATTCTTGATATTAATAAGCCATATAAGCATCTAAATAGTGACACATATAACAGTTTTTGATTACCTAATCAATATCCACACTACTATATTTAAAAATCAAAGGGCTTGATAAAAATGAATATATCAACTTATTTATTGTGTTACAGTCTCTCCCTTTCAGTAATTGTTCTTATGTGTTACATCATTTCCACAGATGTGTTTTAAGGCCTTTTAGCCCTTCAGTACCCCACAATGTTGAGGACAGTTATGGGGGGAGAAGGAAAACTTTCCTTTTGCTTCTGGAAGGTTCACTAAAAGATCAACTTATAATAAGGCAGATTAATAAGAGAAAGAGATTACAAATTTATTTACCACACACATGGGGAAAATAACAGAGTGATCACCCAATATCTTGATGGGGTCCAGAAGTGTATATGGCCTCATTTTAGAGGGGAGGGAAAAATGAGTAATATAGGCAATTGAGTGGTAATAAATGCATATAGGAAGGATGAACAGATACTTTGGAGAGTGAATGGATGGGGAGAGAAATAGATTCACTTGTAAATAATTCTATTCAAAAATTATTAATAAATTAACCTGAGAAACAGGTATTATCTTTAAAATGGGTTAGGCCAAGTCTGGTGGCATTATTGATCTTCTTTCCTGAGCTATATGGAGATAACAGGAAGGAGAATGAAAGACAATTGTCCTTTTTCATGGGTCCCTCTGGTTTTATACAGATAGAGAGGAAGCTCCTTTGAATGCCTGTTGATTTCTAGGGGCCTTTAGTTAAAAATACTTTCTATACTAAGGAGTCATACTTTGGGGTGAAATTCCCTGAGCTTCTTCACAATGTTTGATGATGCCTGCTAGGTAATTTAATGTTATTTATATTGGACTAAGATCCCAAATCATCCTAGCTCTTCAATTTATTACTCTGGCATAGGAAGGCATAAGAACAAGATGCTTTATAGATGTAGAAAAGAAAATAACTGGGTAATAAGCACTTTAAAAACTTGACCCATAAATAGTTTTTAATAATTACACATTGAGTAATATTATGAAAAAAAAAACACTCTGTATGTATTTGGATCAGTCAATATGGAGCCTAACATGGAAAAATTTGTAACTAATCTAAAATCTAGACTGTAATGTGTATAATAATCAAGCCTGGTTGCCACACTTTAAACACATGTTTTGCCATTAACCAAACTGAAGTGTGTTACTTTTGCAGTGGATGGTCTGTCAGAATCCCAAACATTCTTATGACTCTCTGACATGAGATAAAGATAATTTAAAAATAAATTCCAGGATTCAATAAATATTAAGAAACCTTACAATCTTTCACAGCATTGCCTCTGGGATTCTAATAAGAGGAAATGGGTTCTGTCATTTTTGACTGATGGAGTAGTTGTTACTCCAAGCATGTCACAGGGCGGTTGCACCAGGATAAGGCCAGCTGGGGTGGCTGTAGGGCACCTGCTACTGGCATGCTCTGCCTCCCAAGTCACTCTATTCTAGCCAATCTCTGACCTCTGGTTTTATATGCCTTGGAGCTAATACAAAAACATTTGAAGCTACATGACATTTTAAAAAAAATATCTTACTCTCAAATACGAAGCTTTAATACCATACCCAGCAACTGGAAAACAACCTTTTTGTCAAACTTTGACTCCACTGGAGAGAACTACTAAGAATTTAAAAGTTATTACTACCTTCACCTAAATACAGAACAACGAACTAATACAAGGCAGATGATCTCACTAAGCTAATATTTACCTTGTGCCTGCTTTCGAAGGGACTGAAATTACAACGTAGATGTCTTTGATATCTGCATACTCCTTTGAAGTACAATGTTATTACTTTTATTTAGCATGAAGGAAACCAAGCACAAAGAAGTTTAGCGTTAAAAAGTGCTTTGTCAGAAGATAGAAGTAACATGCAGCCTTCCACTTGCTCTGTGCTCTTTCTTCCAGTTTTTATCTAATTTTATTTTGAAACAATGTCTTTCACCTTATCGTGATTAGAATGCAAAATGTCTCTCTAAAATTTTTCCTCTGGAAATCAAATGACATCAGCACTTAATCAGGCCTTTCCTTGTTGTCAAGTGCTTGCCATAACCAGCACTGGTTAATTTTGTGCCCCATAAAATACACTTTCAAAAATGCTTTGCAAAGCTAAATATTTTTTTATACTTGAATTAGAAAACTGTAAACAGGATTTTCTTCTGTCTTTAAAAAGCAACCTATTTTGATTGAAAGATAAGAAAAATGAGAAATCAAACTTCAAGTATTGTAAGATCTCCCCTTTTAGGATAACACATGTAATTCTGAGATTTATGGCAGGTCATTAACTAGAATGTTTATTTTAATAAATATCTGACTTAGCCTTAGAGTTAACTAAAATTAAATTTTCGTAGTTTGCAAAACAATCAACCAACCAAACCAAAAATATACAAAGTTTCTTTCTGAAATATAGGTTGAATCTAATTGAATCTGCCTAATTATTGAATCACATAAAGATTGGTATAATCTTTATTCCTACAGATAGGAAAAAAAGAAACTTAATGGCAAAAAAATACTAATATCAGGATTTACATGGAATATTGCTTTTTGTAATAAATGCCTGGTAAGAGGCTCTTATTTTTTCATTTACCTCTTTCTAATGAAAGTGAAATTCTGTCAAAGTCACATTTTGTGTATTGTGTCTGCAGTTGTTGCTATAACCTTATATGAGCAGAGGCTGCTGTTGAAAGCAGGAAGCTACGTGTTCTGAGGGCCACAGTGATGAAGGTGCTCTTTGCTGACACTCCTGACACCAGACTTTGCATGCACTATGAAGACTTTAGAGCAGTTATTCTTCAGTTGCAATCCCACACAACCAGCCTATATTAGTGGACAATCTAACTACCATAAAATCACCACTACTTTCCCTCATGTGCCAAAAGCCTTTGAATTTAATTTATGCAGCTCTACTCTCTTTTCCTTGAGGGTGAGTTCCTCCAGGATTTTCTTTCCTGCACAAAAATATATCTTAGGAAGATGGTCCAGATGCTAGCATTCATGCAGCTGAAATGTAAACTAGAAAACTAGGATTCCTGCTGCATTAAACCATCTATGCCTTTTAACACAAATGACTATATAGGGAGTTACAAAATGTCCATTGGAATGTATGGATATTAAGGACTATATCTTTTCCTAACTGCAAGTAATGACTGGATTTTCACAGCAAATATTTATCAGGCTCTCTTATGTGCACCCCTTTCTAGACACTAAGAATACATCAAGGCACAAGTTAGGACAAACAGACCACAAATAACATATGGACTTTTGTTTTACATTTGGGCTAGTCCTAAAACACTGATTTAAATTTGCTGGCAGTCTCTGAATCTCTCAATATCCTCTTTTTTACATCAAAAGTCTACTGTAACCTACATACTTGGAACAAAGTAGGTCCCCAGGATAAGTGTTAAATAAATGAGCCAGATTGTTGAAACAGATTAATATTATGGGAGAAGTGGCCAACATATTACCCTTGTATTAACTCAGATATATTCTTCTATATATCTCTTGCATCTGTTTCTCACTGCTTTCAGCTCAAGTAACTCCCCTTGTATGATGCTCTCCAGACAGGATACACACATATCCCCTTGAGTGCCCTTCCATCTTTCTCAGGTCCAATGATCTCAACAGGGTCTTTGACTCCTTAAACCAATTGAACCTATTCATAACTTTCCTTTATGATAGCCACAAAAGTGAGTCCTTATCTATTTCCCTATCCTAATTGAATCAGGTTTTTCTTAAACATTGGCATTTATAAGTCTGTTGTATCATTATACTTAACTAGCTAAAAATCACATTTGCCTTTAAAAGGACACTACTTTTAATTTTCAACACAGCATTTCATCATAGTCTGTGACATAAAGGATATTTTTTTCTAAGAAATTTTGAGTTTTAAATCACTAACTTTCAGACTATAGGTTAATGTCACTCATTGATCTAATACAAATGTTAACTTTAGAATGTTTTACTCAAACCAAATGCTACAAAGTTATACAAAAGCTACCAAATATAAAAGTTTCTATTTTTTTAAAGTAAAAAATTATGTAAAATAACCACTATAGTCCAGTAAAAAATAGAAATAAAGAGAATGAGTGTATATGTTATTGCTATTTAAGGGAAGTGTATTGTCCCTGGATATTAAATATGGGTAAGTTATTATATGCAGTATAATTAATCAAAATAAGTGTTTTAGAGAAGATTTCAAAACTCACAGAGAAATCTCTGACAATGTGTACAAATCTAAATTCCTGATTATAAGAACTAACTGAAAGAGTGAGCTTGAATGAAGAGATCCAGGATGTGAAGATAAAATAGCAACAAACAACTTACAATATATTGATGTTTGTACAAAATTATTTATTATTTATTTGCTGATTTAAAAACAAAAGTGAATTTGGAAGAATATTTCTTTGTAACATTGTATATATATAAAAAGTTGAGCTACTTGTGAGGCTGGGCCATGGGGGTGGGGATCACTTGAGCCCAAGAATTAGAGTCCAGCCTGGTGACACAGGGAGACCCCCATCTCTAAAAAAAGAAAAAAAATAGCTGACAAGTTGACTCTTTGGTTTATCATTTCATCCTTTTTGTCTTAAATATTCTAAAACCTACCTGAATATTATGATAAAGTTTTGTTTTTTTTTTTTAAACAGCATCACATAAGTCAACACATAGTCAATATAAAACAATTCTACTTTGTATCCCTTAGGCATAGGCACATTAAGAATCAACAGTTATTCACAAACCACAGAAATATCTGTGGGATAATACTTGAATAACTAGAGAGATCTTGAGTCAAGTTGAACACAAACAGAATTCATTTTTTTTAAATCTTTTTCCATTGTTTATCTAGATCGCACTAGACATTATCTCGACTAAACCAGATATTTGCTTCCACAAGTATAGACTGACAACATATACCCATACCTTAACACATCATGTCAGAATCATGGCCAATCTCCATCATTATAATAGAGGGATGATATCAGTGTATTCAGGATATAGGGTCACTTACACTATTCTGAAGCCATCTGCCGAGAACTACTTTGAAATCATACCTACTTTCTTGAGTTTCTGCTTATGTATTAATGTACAGTACTATGCAGAGTAAAATTATATTATCAAACTTTAATATGAAAGTACATCTAAGTAACATTATCTTTCCCTCAACATTAATATGGGAAGAAAAAGGAAGTATATATTTTGAAACTATTACATCCACAATCTGTGATAGTATCTGTTTTAAACTGAAATGTTGAGTACAGTTTTTGAAGTATCGTGTTCTTGGTCAGTCTTAACTGTGGGGAGTTTATCAGTCATGGAAACTTGAGAAAGTTATTATGTACAGATTCTGACATACAAATGTTTATGGAGGAAAAAAAAATAGAGGGAAAATAGCCAATGCAAAAAGGCAGGGGACAATAAATCTGCTATGCAAAAGCCTAAGTTTCCTGTCATGGGTGGATGAAATAAAGCATCATGCACTTCCCAATTCCATTGCAGAGGATGAGCTTAGGAATTATTTAAAAGGATATTTTCTATAAGCTATGTTTCCAGAAATTAAGGAAATTGCTGTACAAAAAGGTAACAGGCTTTTCCTTGTAATTAAACGTAATTAAATTTCTTTACACAATTTCAGCTTTAAACTTACATTGCACTAAATTTCAGGGCTTTCCATTTCAGAGCTGGCTAATGGTAATTATTAATAGTTCATTATCCTCTTAGCTCTAAAAGATTCCTCACCCAATACTAACCAAAAATGGGTAATATTAAATCCATCTAGTTTAGTTACCTGTGTGTTCTAGACTTTGTTAGGTTCCTCTTGCCCCCATTGTATTTTATCTTGTCATGTTTCTTTTCATGGCTTTTAAATACTATCGAAAATTATTTCATCACATATTCATATTTGACTAAAACTTGCATTTTTAAAACTGCCCCCATAGCAACTTAGAATATATTACGTAGAATGTTTAAAGTGATGTAAAAACACTTCATACTTCTCACATGATGCACTGTTTCTTGAATTCTGTCATTTGTGAAAGAAGTAAAGCCAAGTTAAAGTCTCTGGAGTGGATATGGAGCTTTTATTTCATTACCCTAAGAAAGGCGAAGGGTGTCTCACGATCTGAACATCATCATCAAATAATGAAAAAACTAAGCCAGGCCCCATTTCTCATTTTCTGCAAAGTACTTTTATGAACACACTATGCAGTTATACCATATTTGGCATAACTTAAAAAAAGAGCAAAAATTGTTGCAAGCAAAACATCTCAGCACTGTAATGCTAATCTAACATAAAAAAAATCAGGCAGAAGTTTATAATTCTATAAGCATTTATACACTGAAAAAAAGGAGGGGGAATAGTTCAGGTTTTCTGAATTCCCACTGGCTTGATACAAATTTAAAGTAAAAAAAATGTCTGTAAAAGATCAGCAGCTGATAGGTAAGTAGAATATAGTCTCCCTGAGTTCAGAATAGAAAGAAGCACACCCTGAACAGTTTTCAAAGGCTCAGAAAGATAAATTCCAGTGAATGTAATTGTACTACACGAAGCTGACAATTTGCAAACAAAAATGTGCAGAGTTATATAGTTTAAATGGCACTATTGTTGCCCAAACAATTGTACAATGCTACACAGGAAAATTAATAAAACATTAATAAAATATAACAAATCTTGTAGAATTTAAAGTTAATTAAAAACACAAAAAGTTTTGTCCCATTTTCTTATATTTTTCAAGATATGAAAACACCATAAAAATGTGTTATAGAGGGTCATTGATAGTAGTATGATCCTCGTTTTAAAAGAAAAGACTTCAGAATGAATGCTTAAAATCCACATACCATCTCTCCACAAAAGTTTCTAATTAAGACTTTAAAAGATCTTCAGTCTGTATGTTTACAGAGAAAGTCCATTGATAGTGGATACTAACTTTATCACATAGAATAATAACTTTACATTAATACCCTGGTGAACATATACATATACTTATAATTCTGTTCTTACAGATATCTATTGGCACATAAAAAAAAAAACTACCCACAGTATTCTTTGGACAAACATTTATAGCCTCATTCATTTTTGTATCTTAATAGCTATTTGAAATTACAGTATGTTATTTATTTTTGTGTATGAAGTTCCCAAACTTTTGCATAAATCCTCGAAACTTGTTTTCATTTGGTTGATATGAGTGGTAAACACCAGTGTTGTAATTAAGCATTGGACTGGATCTGCCATAACTGTTGCCCATAGTTGTAGATTTTATTTCTGGGCGATTTATACTGGTATTTGGCATGTTGCCTGTTGGCTGAATAGAGCTCTCGATCTTACAAAATGGTTCAAAACGACTGTAAACTCGCCGGTCGGTTGAATGGGATCGTAGAAGCTCACTGGGCTTCAGCCTTGGAGAAGGAGTCGGTCTTCTTTCAGGAGCAAGAACTGCTTTTATCTCTTTTGTATCTCGGTATTGGATCTGTTCCGTGTTAAATCTTGGGGCAGAGGCATCTCCCGCCCTTTCCAAGGAAGTACTTTCAACTGGACTTGGGGAAGGTATTACTTTATTACCTTCATCTGAATGTATTCCCTGAGATGAGCTAACTGTCACATCTTCCTTACTCTTGTGGATGCTGCCTTGGGAGTTTGATGAGGAAGAACGCTTTTTTCTAGGAGATGAATCGACTTTGGGTTCTGATTTCTTTGGTTTTTGATTTTCTTCACTCTCAGAAACTAATGTGTCGGAGCTACTACACATTTTATAAAAGGCAGGTGCTTTATTTTTGGATAGATTTTCTTTCTTTTCTGGGGTAAGGCTAAGTAATGACCTTAACTTCTGAGATCCCTTTTTCAAAAAACTTGGGGAGCCCTTAACTTCCTTCTTGGAAGTGAATTCTTTGTTGGGTTCCTCCTTATTCACATCAAGTAAAGCAGCGATGGAAACTGATTTGGAAGTGGTGCCACTTGGAGGTTCTCTCTTGGTAACCTCTTCCTCCTCTTCCACACTATGTGTCACATTGTGCATGCTTTTGGCACTTTTTAGCAAATCTTCTTTGGGTTTTTCTGGTTGTCTCACTCGATTCCTGGTAAGTGTACTATATACATAATGCTTACTATTGCCATGATCTAAATTGGCTTTGGAGTGGTCAAAGAATGGGAAACTTCGCCTTTTAAGCAGATGCTCATTTTGTTGACTCTTTAGATTTTCTGTTGGCTTATTTACACACAAGGTTGTATATATATAGTTGTTTGATTCTGTGTGGCCATTTGTAGTTTGGTTTAAGACTGCTGACCGGTTTTCGGGAACCTGCAAGGTGTGCATTTTGGATGCTTCTAATTGCGCAGGGAGCTTGGGGATTGCTTCTGGCACGGGTTTGTCTGTCAAATGCTGTACACCTGTAGGGGTGTCTGGGACCTCTTTAGGTGTGTCACTTCCCTGGGAACCTATGATGGTTGAATTGGAGGAGCCCGTTGTACAACTGCTAACTTCCTGTTGCTCAGGCAAAGTTGGTTTAAATACAAAAGAGGAACGAAGCCGGGAATGAGTATAAAGGGCATTGGCTTTCAAATTCTCAAGACTATCACAGCCCTCAAATCGTTCAGCTAAAGCTGATCCATTTGAGTCAGGTGTAGCTTCAGAATGATCATTTAAGTAGGATTCAATTCTCCAGTTACGTAGGAATGACCTTGTGGTATGCTCAAGGGTTGGCATCCGTTGTTGCAAAAAGCGGATATGATTATCTGTGCCATTAAAAGACCTCCGCACGTTTGAATTCCTGTCTGCAAGGTTTGTTTTCCGCTGGGCGAGCCGATCAGCAAAGCTCTGGGCAGGTGTGTTCCTGTGGCTTGCACAGCCTCCCCGAGATGAAGAGGCCACACTGAGACTATCTGAAGGCCTTTTCCAATTGCCAGGTGGATTATTGCTTCTATTCAGAGCTCTGTTAAGCAAGAGGTACGGCGTCGTTTCTGGCTGTTCCCCAGCATAACTATGCCTTTTCCAATTTTCATTTATCTGACTAGGTTGAAACTGACGTACTGTATTGGGACCATTAAAGTTTGGAACAAACTGAGGTTTGTAGCCATGATTTCTGATGCTATATTTGTCATGTTCATTTTGAGCATAGATCCCTCTGTTTTTGAAGTAACTAGAATCTAGTTTATGAATTTTATCTTGTCTACCAAAAAGGTTTCTTTGGCTGGAAATGGAAGCTAATGAAGACATTGAATGCTGGTAAGTGCCGTTTTCCCAGAGTGCTTTGCCATGCTTCACTCTTGCTGATTCTTCCTGAGCAAATGAACTGGGGACAGAGGATTTGGCATACAGAGTTCTAAATTCTTCATCAAAGGACTCCACAAGTTGTCCTGTGATTATCTGCACCATGCTGAGGTGAGCTTTCTCAAACGACCACATATAGCTGAAAAAAAAAACAAAAAATGGAAAATTTTCAACTTTGCTAAGTCAAAAGATTGGCACTAACATATAGTTCTACTAAAAAAGTATCATTTAACGTCGACAAAAGAATGTTTTTGTGTGTTTATCTTGACTACCATAGTTTAGGATATTTTCAATCATTGCATGCGTGCAATACATGTGTCTCCCCATCTTCATATTCATATTTTAGATAATAATTCAACTCAAGTTCAAATCCACTGATAATTTCTTATCTACCTTCCAGAAGTCCAAAGAAAAGCTTGGATTTTGCATCTATGCCTAGTAAGATTTTATGGAGTAAACAATGAATTATGTTTCATATACAACATCCTGGCAGAATGTAGGAAAGCCAGTATTGGTGGAAAAGTTAAGAGACCTGGTTTTTGTTGAGTTGTAGCCACATGAGTTTGGGCCTCAACTTTCCTCATGTCCAAAATGAGGACATGGTCAGCATAGTAGGTACAATGCCTTATAGTTCTAATATGATACAATGTAAGATACATCTGTGCTGTATCCATGTATTTTAAGAGGCTCAATGTTTTCAGACTGTTATCCCAAGTGGCTTACTCAGTAGTTATAATTTAGAACACCAGGAGCTGTAAACAGGGTTTGTGGGCAGCAGCCTCAATCATTAAAGGGCAGATTTCACTGCACTCAGTGTGCATAGTAGTAGCAAATGTCGTCTCAGAAACCATGCCAGTCAAAATGACAATTAGAATCTTTTAATATGGAATATAACTTTTAGGAAATTAAAGTTTGTATGACTTTGCAGTACTTTATGGAACTCCCAATTCCTTTCCTAGAGTTTATAAGTGATAACTATTTTGAAATTTAAAATCAAATTTTACATCTGATTTTTGAAAACCTAGATGATGTGTATAGATAGAGTCACTGAACTGAAATCTAGATGAATTGCTAATATACTATACATCAAATAATGGTATATGACACAAGGGAGTAAATATAAAAGAAAAAGGAGACAGAGACATTCTCCACATCGAAGGTTTTTACTATTTATATAGGGCACACAAGAAATCTTTTTGCAGACAAAAAGATTAAAAGAATGCACAGAATAATCATTTAAAATAAATACATAAAATATCAAAACCAGCAGTGTGCCACTTAAGAATGTTATTCTGATATGCTTAATTTTATCTAGTATACCTTTGAATGCATGGTATGAGAAGGATATTTACTAAATGCTTTCTGTGAACACACTTGGGCCACCAGGCTTACTTAAAAGGAATGGTAGAAAAATGAATGACTAAAGAAAATTTCAATTTGACTGAAGATATGAATACAAATTATCTTTGGAACATCAAGTAATGGAATGAATAGTCAGCTATCAAGTATGAGGACACCCTGGGGGAAAGTGGGAGTTTTGTAATATTTTGATGAAGACTAGATACCCAGAAGTTCAGAGATAAAAGGTATGAGAGGACAATTTACGTGGAAGAAGAAACATATGGAAAAGAGAAGGAAGCAATAATGGCCATGGTTGGTTGAACATAGAAAATAGATTATATTTATCTGGATTAAAGAAGCTATGTAAGAAATTTATGAATCGGTGAGGAAATCGTGAAAGAAAAGCAAAAAGTTTTATTACATAGGATGTGTTTCCAAATTTGGATAAATTATAATAGAAAGAGATGTTTGAGGAATTATTTTTTCTAGTAGCTATTTGTGTACACTTGAAAGATGAGGGATTGAATTTAACTATGAAAAGTAAAGTAGTTAGAATAAAGTAAGAGCTCAAACCAAAGCAGAAATTGGAATAATGAATAAAAATGTTGAGCCAGTAGAAAGAAGAAAGAATCAGAAAACTTCCATGTCATGAAAGATGTCCATAGATTATGAAATTAAAATAACCTCTGGGTATTGAGTGTAGCAAACTGAGAAGCTAGTGATACTGGTGACTATATAGCGATTGGAAAAGTTTCTCTGCTATGGTAAATCAGAAAATAACATTGTAATAAAATTTCAGGTAATAGGGAGGAATTCAATTGAATATATTCAATAAGTAAATCTGAGAAATTAGAGACATTCTTCAGGGTTTGGGAATGAGTTCATGTGTTTCTCTGTCATCCCAGGTCATCTGTATCATCTATATGCCAATAAGTACCAAATCTGTATTTTCAGGGATGACTTCTTCCTCATCTCTGGAATCAATGTCCAATCTCTACTTGCTAATAATTGCTGAGAAAACAGCAACTTTGATTATAGAGCAATACCTTCCCAATAAGGAGGATAACCAATTCAGTTTAGAGTGCCAGCCCATGTCAAGCCATAAATCACCTAGAATTATGAATTTCTGGACTTAAAACTTGGGAGAAAAAAGGAGACTTGGAAACAAAAGTGAAAAAAAAAAGTGGGAATTGATAAATCATGGGTCAAACCATCCAGGAATATGAGAAATACTAGGAACTACAGATGTGCTCCCAGTTTAAAGACCTGCTAGTCCAGATTAGACATCAGAGATTGTTGGTAGTTACTGAGCATTTGGAAAAGTCATTCATGTGCTGCAAAATCTGTGTGGTCAACTGGAAAATAATTGTAATAGATACAGAAAACAAAGACAATGAATAAAAATAAAATGGTCATTATTAACTTTGCTATGAAAAAGGAAACATATAAATCACTCCATAGCTCATCAATGATCAATTTTGACACAGTTTAGTAATTTAAACCTGGACTTACTTAACCAAAAATTGTGATAGAACTATATTGGGAGAATGAGGCCAAAAAGGGAAAGTGGATGTGGGTGAGTAGAAAATTTAATTCTTCAATAATTATAATAAAAAACCAAGAGATAATATATGAAATTCAGAAAACAAAGAAAGAACAATATAATCACATTATTTAAAAGAATAGAATAAGCCTCAGAAGAATTAATTAAAATAATTGAGCAGTTGTATCTGGTAGTCAGGACCAGGGGTGGATAGGAATGGAGAACAAAAACTTCTGTTTTTCTATTGCTCATATTTTAGTAACATTTGATTTTTCACATATGTACAGATATTTTTGTGCATAAAAAATTAACAAAGGACTCCCATCCCCCGCTACACATATACTTTAACACACTAGTCATGAAGTTGGGAGTGTGGTTATAAATTCGCACAGAAAAAAGTAGCTTGAGAACTCTTAGTTCCTGGCTGGGGACTAAGAAGCAAAGTTCATGGGGTGTAAGAAGAAACAGTCGACTGGTTGTAGCATGGATCTCAACTGTGAAGATCTTCATGTCTGATCAAACACGGCACCTAACAGGCACCAGCTTCAGTGAAACTTATCGTTTGAAAGTAACTTTTATAGAGATCATAAGATTCAAAAAAATAGGAGCTTATAAAATTCTCTCGGTCCAAATTGTAGACAATGCTTTACTAAATATATTCCATATTTTCACTTAATTTCAAATGGGGTTATCAAATTCAAAACATTATCTATTCACATCGATTAACCCATACCTATGTGTTTTCTCCTGTCAATGTTGGTGTCATGTTATTAAAAAAAACTCCTCTTGTGTTTTCCTAATAAAACTGTCACTGAATGAGTGACCAATCAAACAGTGTGTGACTTTGGCAAACATGGATGCCAGGCCTCTCCAGGAATGGTAGGAGTTTAGAGCCCTGTGACATCCCATGGCAAAGAACTCTGAATTAAAGAAGGCATTTTCAACTTGCCCATGAGGAAAACAATGGCAATACTAGAATATGAGGGAAGAAGGCTGTTTTTGACTAAAAGGAAATACATTTTTAACCAAACTAGTTCATGACTATTCCACCAGAGCTTGTTACAATATTGTTAACAAAAGGAAAGGTCCGTGATAATTAGTCAGGAAAATAAAAATGACAATGGATGACGACCATTAATTTTTTAAAGAAGTATAATATATTTAAAATGAACTTGAAAGAGCAAAGAGAATAGAGTTGTCAGATAAGAGTCTTCATGAATTTTTATAATCTACGGTCCTAGGAATTCCATAATCACTAACATAATAGTAACTTAAATTCTGCCTCTGGCCTAGGACAGAGATAGATACAGATTTTTTTTTTTTTATCATTGCTGTTTGATTTTCACCAAATTAATCTAAAGTAGCTCAGCTATAGGCATATCAACACATAGCACCTATTAATACCTACTGGTAACAAAACAAAATTGAGGTGAATTTACAGTTGAAAATAATCCTAACAGTCAAATTAAACAACAAAACTAACACTAATTATGATGAGCTTAAATAATAAACACCATTCTATATAAGTCAAGTGAACACTCATTTTTAATTAAAATTTCAATTCAAAACCCTCTAAAACCAAGTGGGTCTGAACAAATATATCCACATATAATGAGTCTTTAAAAGGACTCACTGATTTCAAGCACTAGCTGTAATTTCTGTTCTTAACAAGTGTTCATTTGGAACTCCAAACAGCATGTTTTTTAAAAAGGTTCCTGAGCTTAAAGGAAAAGTTAGCAGAAAGTAAGAGTTGAAACAAGTCCTAACATAATAGTTAACATTAGGGGTTTGGATCTATTAACTTCATTTAATCCTTACAACAATGACATGTGGGAGATTCTATGATTATCCTCATTTTACAGCTCAGTAAACTAAAGGGCAGCGATCAAAGTATTTTGCTCAAGGCAATCCAAAGCAATCCATTTCAATGTGTTACCTCCTTTTCATGGACTTTTTAAGTTATTAAGAGAAGAGACAAAGGTTTCCTCTTACACTGTCCTGTTTATATCCACAGCTGTCCTGGAGTCTTCCCTTGGTCTTTAATAATGAATTTATTCTGCCTTAGTGACCCAGCAGTTGACAAGGGTTTGCTGGTGTTTTTATCTGCCTGTTCATATAGCTTCATTATGTATCTGATTTAGGACTAATGTTGGGGATTTATTTATAAGGGAGTATTAGTGCTGTGCCTACACTCTGAAGCCAGCCTGACCTGGACTGGTCAGCCAGTTCTGCTTTGATCAGACTCTTAATAATACAAAACAAGAAAAGTCCATTCAACAGGTTTTTCAAAGTGGCAAACAGCTTCTATTTTTATGCACAAGTGTTTTCATAAGGAGCAAAACCACTTTTCGTGTTGGTGAGCTGTAGGGAACTGTAGGGAGCTATTTTCTCTGAGATATTAGTCAACCTCCTCATTTTCTGGATGAAGAACATGAAGCTGAAGAAGTTATGTGATTTACCTAATCTGTTTTAATGTCGTTCAGAGACAGAGCCATAACTCAAACCTAGGTCTCCAAGCTTCCATGCAAGTGTTCTTTTTTTATTTTCAAGAAAGCTAAACCGATGATATTAATATTTGAAACTAATAAATTATTTAAATGATTAATAACACTGATGGAAAACACAATGATCTTACCTGTAAGAACCGTACATCACTTTCTGGCAGTCGACTAACAAAAATTTCTGTTCCATTTTTCCACGGAATTTTGCCCCTGTTTTTGAAACATAGTTTTGGCCTTTAACTGTCCGCACGCGGATATTCTAGAATTATATGTAAATATGAAGTAAAAATTATGGCTAGAAAGGGGATATTTTCAAAAGCAAAATGCTTATTAATATAAAACCTCAATACCCCCCCAAAATCACCTGAAGTACATTTTTGAAAAACAAAAAATTTAATAAAAAGAAAATTTTTTAAAATCCTAAAAATTAAATACTTAAGAAAAATAATCACTTAAAATACATATATTAACATAGCTTAAATAGGAGATATTACTTTACATTTATACAGAATGGTTTCATAAATGACTTAGGATCTTATTATAATTAAAGCCTTTTGGGTTAGAGTACCATAATGATAAAATAACTAAAATTAAAACCTTTCTTTTAAAAACTCAAACATGACTGAACATATTATGCCAAATTGTTTTGATATGTAATACCTACTGAAACATAGAAGCATTTGAGTCAGTGCTTTCAAAGTTGTGCATATAAACTGAAGTATGAAGTACGAATAGTGGCAAAGTTAACTCAGAAACTTGTGTCCCACCTTCAAGAAAAGCACACTATAAAACACTCATGAAGATGTGTGTTTTCAATCACATTTTAAAAAGTACAGGAGATTTCCTTGATTGACTTCAAGTAAAAGGAAAAAAAAAGGTACAGGGGAACTGTCTGTGATCAATCAATATACCACCTTAAATATATATATATAGTACATTTTTTCTTTTGCATTAATCTACCTTAGTATGCATTAAATTTAACTGAGATGAAAATGTTAGGCAAAGTACTTAATTAAGAAAAAGCAGAATTCTTACCCTGAGACGTTGAACTTGACAACCCTGTTTCTCAGTCATATTTAGAAAATGATTAAAATTGGACTCATCAAGCAGAATGTATACAGATATCCCTCGAGTTGATGCCTCAACTATTTCTTTGAAAATGTCCACATCTGTAAATATATCCATTACTAAAGCAATAACCTGTTAAAGATAAGAATATGAAACAATTTTAGATACTTACAAAGAAAGATTAACAGTAAACTTTCAGCAAAATAAAACAAAATTTAAAGATATAAATATACATATAAATATTTGTACAGTTTTTTAAATATAAAACTACATTAAAAATAAGCAAATTACTATATACAGATTTCCACCACTAAGTAATTTTCATATGAGCTTTAAGTTCAAGGGAATCTGCATTTCAGTAGGATTTTAAATGAAGCATGAATCCAAATCATGGGTTGCAAGGTTGCCTGTAGAACAGATGAAGGGGGAGGTGGCCAACCAGTATTACAGTTTTTCTTTGGAGTCATTTTCAGGGTAAAGTAAAATTTCTGGAACTAGTTGGTAAGAATAAAGGTCTTGAGAAACTGGGACAGAGCAAAATATCTTCTAGAAATAGAAATATATCTAGGAAAGGATAAAATGTGGAGAAAGGGTATAAGAACACTTGAAAACCATAAAATTAAATATGAAGTCATCCCGTGGCACACGTGTGGGATTGGTCCCAAGACCCCCGCATATACCCAAATCTACACATACTCAAGTCTGGCTATTGGTTCTGCAAAAGCCACATATAAAAAAGGTAGGCCCTCCATATAAGTGGGTTTTGCATCCTGCAAGTGTATTTTCTATCCATGATGGTTGAAAAAAATCCAAGTAAAAGCCAACCTACACAGTTCAAACCCATGTTTTTCAAGGGCCAACTCTACCTGCCTAAAATTAGCTTAGCAGACAGAATAAGCAAAAGAAAAAAAATGAATAAAAAAGGTATTTAGAAAGTAAATGCAGAGGAAAATGCCCTAAAGAACAAGCCCTTAAAATGCTAAGAGTTCTTTTGGATTGCTGGAAAGAAGAACCATAATTGACTCTGAGAACAATGAGAGGGAAATAATGCTGGAAGAAGAAGAAGAAAAAAAAGACGACCAAGGAACCAAGCTCTGGGACACTCCCAAGTGAAGAGGTCTAACATAAAAGCAGGTACCAGCAAAGGAGATTGAGTAAAAGGGCAGGTGGAATCCTGAATGTCAAGCAAGGACAGTGTATCTGTAAGGAGCACGATGTACTCAAGAGGCTCAAATCGGACTGCGAGGCCAAGTGTGGTTTTAGTGGAGTAGAAATAGCAAAAGCATGATTGGAAGGTATTTAAGAGAGAATAGGGAACAGATACTGGATATAACAAGTACAAACAACTATTTTTGTGTAATTTGGCTATGCTAGGAAATAGAGAAATGAAGCCATAGCTGTGGGTAAAGTTGGGTGTAGAGAAGTTATACATTTATTTCTATTTTTTCTTAAATTGGCAGATAAAATCGTATATATTTGTCATGTACATGATGTTCAGATATGGAATCAACCTAAGCATCCACCAGCAGATGAATGGATAAAGAAAATGTGGTATATATATCTGCACGCACACACACACAGGAATACTATTCAGCCATAAAAAGAACAAAATCCTCCAATTTGTGATAATATGAATGAACCTGAAGGACATTATGTTAAATGAAATAAAGCCAGGCACAGAAAGACAAATACCACATGGTCTCACTCATCTGTAGAATCTAACAATGTTTTATTTAAAGGTATATAATAGTGTGTCTTTATGCTAATGAAATGCTCCAGTAAAAAAGTAAAAATTAATGATGCAAGAGAAGGTGAGGGTTGAGGTGGAGAAGGAGAGAATTTCTGGAGCATTAAAGGTAGAATCTACCAGGGCAAATGTAAAGGAATTATATTGCAGCACAGAGAGTAAAGTCTAGTAAATGATCTGACCATCTATAACATGAAGCCAGAAGGCCAAGGGTAAAAGTGCAGATGCTGGTGGGGCAGCAGATGTGAGAATGGTGCTGTGGAAGCTCTCTTCTGAATGCTTTGATTTGCTCAGTGCAGTGGGAATCAGGGTTCTCAATTGCAAGTGAGAATTCCAGAAGACACTTTTAGAGGTTTGAGGTCAAGGGTTTTAAGTAGTCACCTAGGAAGAGGTAAGAAAGGAAATAGACTAAGGAGATGTAGTATGATTGCTAGTTAGCTTTAGGACTGACCTTAAAGAACTTTAAAGACCAGTGTGGTTGTGAATTATTCTCCAACCTTGTTCAGCTGCAGGGCTGCAGGCACAGAGTAGGCAGGGAGTTTAATTTAACCATGGCTGTGGTTCTGCCATGAGCGTATAACAAACTGAGAGGGCAGGAGCACTGAAGGTGTATATCATGTGGAGTGGCTGAAATGATTGACTGTGGGCTTTAAGCTGGATATAAAGATGAGAGAGGATGTCACGGATGTGAAAGGCAGTGAAATGTGCCTATGATCAAGGAATGAGAGATTCTGCTGGGGTTAAAGAACAGTTAGATATGAAGGAAGTATTGCTAATATTTTAGGTTTAATATCTATCTTATCTTTTAAATATACATGTTAACATAGCTAACATAGCCACAGATGAAAAGACTGTGCCCTGTAGTTATTTCATAATATAATAAATGAAACAAAATTGGCCATGACTTGATAATTTTTGAAGCTGATTGACTGTACATGAGAGTTCTGTTCTTCCTACTTTTGAAATTTTCTATAACACAAAGTTTTTAAAAATTAAAAAGAAGTGAACATTTGATTGTAGCAGATACAAGAGGTAGCAAGCCAGAAATATACCGTGTTTCCCTGAAAATAAGACAGGGTCTTATATTTATTTTTCCTCCAGAAGACACCCCAGGGCTTATTTTCAGGGGATGTGTTATTTTCCCCTCAAAGCCTCAACTTGCAGCACACACAGGATGGTCAGGACCTGACAAGGGGAGCCAACCTTGTGATGGGGCTGCCCACACCTTTCCTGTCACCTCTGGGATAATAGCTGTCACAATGGGGCAGATGAGAAGGGCTGCTCATCTTCTTTACCACTCTGCGATGAAATGCATGGGTTGTGCAGATACGCTGGGAAGCCATGCCCATCACTATTTTCCAGGTAAGGGCTTATATTGTGCAAATGCTTAGAAATCCTGCTAGGGCTTATTTTATGGGTAGGTCTTATTTGGGGGGAAACACGGTAGTAGTCACACGGGGATTTATGGATTAGGTTATGCAGAATCTGTATGTTACAGGCTATGACATTTTCAAGGTATGATTGGGAGTCAATGGCTAAAGTATATTAAGACAAGATCATGAGAGGAGATAAGGGCAAGAAACTGGTCTTTAGAAAGAACTCTTACATGTATATTGAAATTACAAGGAATTGAGACAAGAGTAGTGTTGGAAAGAGTGACAGAGACTAGAGAACAAAAATTGTCAAGAAATGAAAGAGGATGGCATGAACTGAGCATTAGCATGTGGCAAAACACCAGGAAAATGCAATGAATATATTGTGAATATGTCAGATGAGCAAATTTGTAGACAATATATGAACTCATTTTTATTTACTGTAATGTGATACTGAAACAAAATATTGTACCATGCTCAAATTATATCAATGAGGACATTCTTTAAACTACTTGCAAAACATACTCCAATCTGATTTTCTCTAGGAAGAACAACTTGAATCATTCCAGTGGCCTTGAACATTCTTTTTCTTCTTTATAAATGGTATGAAGTGCCAGGTGAAGGGAGAAGTTTATGATAACAATCTCACCCATGTTTATTAATACTTTTCATAACATCAAATATATGAAAAATCTTGAACACATTGATTGCCACATAAGAAAAACATTTTTCCTTGGGGCTACGGTGTTTTATTACAAAAACAGAATAAAAACTTTGAAAACAAAATGATCCTTTCTAATTTAATGAAAAATTTGTTATTTTTTATTTTTTGCCATGTGTGAGTTATATTATGCAACTTGAAAATAGTTCTCACAGCCCTCAAGATGAAGAGATGTGTGAGTTACATATGCTTCACGAGGCCCCAGGCCCAAAAGGAGCTTGAGTAAAATACAATTCGCATGGCAGTTAACGTGGTAAATTGTATCCACAACTATTAACTTAATGCATTTCCTATGCATTAATGAGTTGTGTAACGATATATGGGCATTGACATAAAGAAAAGAAAATGTCCATGTTATAAATTTATTTTGCAAAATAATTTAAAAAATACATGCCTAGTGCAGTCTGGCACCAATTATGTTAACTAGAAAAAAAATTTTCAAGCAAGAAACATTATTATGCAACGTGGTATTCTTTAATCAGTATATCTAAAAATTTATTTTTAACTTGCCGGATAGTTTCACATAACAAATTACTTTAGACTTTGGAAATGAACAAAAACACATTCCCAGGACACATAAAGGTTTTTGTTTGCAAAAAGTAATTGAAGTCATTCAGCCAGTGGATGATTCTGTCCTGCCAAAGGTAGAACAAATGATGGTCTTTTTTGCATGACAGACAATACATTAGATTAGGATCCAACAGACTAGATTATACTTCTCTGACAAGTTTATCTGATGTCAACCAAGTCAGCTTGCTTCTTAGGGCTTCTGTGTCCTTGTACCCTCACACTTGATATGTTGAAAGATTATGTAAAATCTACAGAAAATTTCAGCTTGTGGCACAATGGGCATAATACATATAGTTCTTTTTTTAATGGTAAAGTTATATTCCTGGGAAGGAATAATAATTATAAATGAGGTATGCCGAACCTGATCTGAAATTATTACATGGCCGGTTAGTTATCTAAATCACACCGTGCTATAGATATGAGCACAATAGCTATATATAATCAAAGACAAATTATATGCCTGATTAGTATAAGGCTTTTCAAAAGGTATATCAATTGATTATACTCATATAAGTTAATGCAGAAACCAGTTATATTAAGTGGTACTCATTAAACTACCATGACATTATATGTTACTTAAATTTTTTTCTTTCTTCTTCACTAATTCTTGTCATAAATTCATAATTCTTGCATTATAAATTGAAAAAGTAAATAAGTAAATGCATTCATCAGAAGCATGAGACTTAGAAAAAATGTTACAATGATATTCTGGGTTTTTGAG